ACAGGAAAACAAGTTTTCTTAAAATTTTTAAAGTGAGGTTCTCTCTTCCAGTCTCACTGTCTACAGAGTTTATGGTCAAAGGTCCGGGAGGTAGGTACTCGTTCAGTGAATTGCAAGGTATCCTTAACTTCTCTGAGCCTCAGTTTCTTTATCTATAAAATGAAACTAGTACCTGTGTTACAGGTGGCCAGGAGGATTTGATGACATAATATGAGTAAAACTTACTACACATGACAGGCACACCATAAGACCTCAATAAATGTTAGCTTCTACTAATAATTAAAATAATTTTATTATCATCATATTCAGGAGATAGTGAATTCCCCATCACAGGAGGTAATTAAGCACAGGTTGGTAGGGAAGCTGCAGAGAGGACTCAAGTACTGGACATAAAATTGGACCAAATGACCTTTTAAGACACTCCTCCCATTTTTGAGATTATGAGCCTCTTAAGGGATCAAGAGCATAATAGAGGGAGATAGAAAGAGACTGCTCTCCTACAGGCACACATTTCCTGACATTTTTCTTTTTAGGGCAAAGAACTAATCTCTTGATCCCCTTCTTTCTCAAATCTTTGAGCCTCATCCAAGAATGGTAGGTCCATCCCCCACAGGGACTAGAGTTATAGCAGTGGTGACTGTGGCCTTATAGTGACCCCTCATAACTCACAAAAAATCCACTCACCAGACTACTAGGTATTGCTTTAAAGTATAACAGTCATAATTTCTATTGCAGACTTGAAGGTAATCATAGCAGACTGAATACATACATTTATCTCTATTCCTCCCCAAAATCCTAGTACAATGACAGTAAAGGAATAAAAAAGATATAAAACCATGAAGACTATAAGAACAGAGGAGACAATAGCAGATAAGAGATGGTAACAACATTCTAGAAGATGGAAAAAGGACGAATGAGTGAGTGGTTAACTAATTCACAGAGCAGCAGAAACTGAAACCTAAGTGCCTGTGAGAGCGGGGAGCCAAGAAAGAGCAGACCAATTTGTGGTACAGATTCTCCAAAGGCTCAGGAACTGAAAATTTTAAGCCAGGTACCTTTGAAGGTAGGAGTGCCAGGTGGGATTGAAAACAAGTGACTTTTCTGAAAATCTGACTAGAGAACAGATTAGGCCCTGGTGCTCCCTACCCCCTGCTCTCTAAGTCAAGCAACCCCCTTCCTGTCACAGCAAAAGTCAGGAGGTTCACTCTGGAGGTGCTGAGAGAAGCCTGCACTTAGGACCCAAGGCTCAGCTAGAATTTGAGGGGATTAAGTTAAAGCCAACCAAGTGCATGGTGAGCCCACCAGGACCCTCCCCCAGTTTGGATCCCAGAATGCTGGCTGCCTATCTCCCCAAGCAAGAGAGTGGGGAGTCCTCTCTAGGCAAAATGAGTTGCCCTCCCCTAAAAGACTTAAGGTCCTGAAAAGGGGTTTCCCATTGTAACTAGCTGACTATCCTGCAATAAAGCTCACCCATTGATTTGAGGAAAGCCCCTAACAAGAAACACAGAGTCTAACACAACTGGATAAAGAAGCTCAAAGCAAACAATACTCCAGAAGCAGAGAGAAACATCAAAAAACAATAACTATAGCTTCAGAAAAAGAAGATAATGCATGTAGAAAAATAGAAAAAGATGTATTAAAAAAAGAACACAGAACAAGTAATGCTTAAAAAACTTTTTTAATTCAACAAAAAAGATAAGTTAACAGTGGGAAAAAATCTCCTGGAAAGCAGACAATAAAAGGAGAGAAAACATAAGAAAATTAGAAGGTTAATTCATGAGGTCCAACTTCTGAATAATAAAATTTCCAGGAAGAGAACAAAGAAAACAGAGAGGAGAAAATTATCAAATAAATAATACAAAAACACTTTCCAGAACTGAAGAGATCTTTTGATTCAAAGTGCCCACCGAGTGCGAGCAAAATGAATGGGAATGAACCAGCATATCCACATTATTGTGCAACACATACACACACCAGCTAAACCAAACCATCCATGTAAGGCCTCAAAAACGAAACTTAATGATATAGACACATAAAACTAAGTTAACAAAAAGAAGAGGGGCAATTATTAACTTCATAAAAAACATTATGGGTTAGCCAGTTAGCTCAGTTGGTTAGAGTACAATGTTGGTAACACCAAGGGTCAAGGGTTCAGATCCCCATACCGACCAGGTGCCAAAAGATAATACATATATATATATATATATATATGTGTGTATATATATATATATATATATATATATTTAGTACAAGAAAGGAATGAAAATCAGAGTAGACTACAGGGCTCAGTTGGGAAAAAGAATGACATGGTCGTGGGCTGGCTGGTTAACTCAGTTGGTTTGAGCATGGTGCTGATAACACCAAGGTCCAGGGTTTGAGCTGGCTGGATCGGCCAGCTGCCAATAAAAATAAAAAATAAGAAATAAGGGGCCGGCCCGGTGGCGCACTGCTACAGTGCACCGCTTGGGAGTGCGGCGGCGCTCCCGCCGAGGGTTCGGATCCCACGTACAGACCGGCCGCTCACTGGCTGAGCGAGGTGCGGGCGCAACACCGAGGGTTGCGATCCCGCTGCCGGTCCCGGTCCGGTACAGGCGCGACACTGAGGGTTGCGATCCGTTGCCGGTCACAAAAAAAAGAGACAAAAAGAGAAAAAAAAAAAAGAAATAAAAAAAATGACAAGGTTATAAACACTGAATAATGAATTAACCAAAAACTGTGATATTGAAGATACTGAAGGATGGAGAGGGGAAGTATGCAAGTGGTAGATAGGGTAAAAGGCTAAATCTTCCATAGGAAGAAGTCAACAGTTAATACCTAAAGTTGAGAAATTAATAATTAAAAGCATAAGTATATTTTTTGGAAATACTGAGTTAACAAAAGAAATAATCAAAAGAATTGCAAAGGGCTGCTTCTGGGGGGCAGGACCAAGGAGGACAACTTCTTTCTCATAAGCCTGGGATATTGTTTTAAAATTACAAAAATAAAACTTTATAAAAACTTTTAAATAAAACTTTTATTTGTTTTATAAAACAAATATATTTCTAGAGAAGAATAAAAGAAAGGAAAAGTAAGCCAGGGGTATAGTGGGCACACAAAGGTCCTGTACAATTGCTAAAGAGGCCAACACATGTCCCGCAATGACAGGGATTTGGTTTTGCTTTCTCTTCCATTGTAAATTAGTTTTTAAATTCTACTTCCAAACAGTTTCCTGCATTTGCAGCTATCCTAGACAACAGTGATCATCTGAGCTTTTGGCACAATCCTGCATGGAATGAAGAAACATTAAAAAAGGAGGATGGTGCCCACTGGCCAGCTGCCAATAAATAAAAAGATGGGGCAGGGATTGAAAAAGAACTCCCTAATTCTGAGAGCTCTCAAGTTTTGGATCTGTCTGAGGAAGGCAGATCCAGCAGATCCTCTGGAAAGTTCCTCCAGCCCCAAGAATTTGAATTTTACCAAACAGTGAAAAATAGTCAGCAAACACTTCCATGAACCCAAATGTACTTTATGCCAGCGACCAAAAGATTCAGACCTCTCTCTTATACAGTCGGAATCAACAGAGCCCTGCACATCAAAGTCTATCATTTCCTAAGTATCTTTAGTAGAAGAATCAGGGATTGTATTCCAAATCCTGCCACTTCACTGCCAAGTGTAGCTGAATGAATAACCAATGCCACCTTTGACAGGAACTCATTCAGCCCACCAATTACCAGTGAGTCAGCCCAGGGAGGGTGTCATTCTGGATGGTGAAAATATTTCCCTGTGGATCTCCAGATGAAGGAAGAGCTTCTGGGCCAGTTTCTACCCTAGACCAGCCCAGCGAAGCAGGGAGGATCTGTACAGCATGGGGTACCATGGGCACCCAAGCTTGGCTCTCACCTGAGGCCCTGCTGGAGAGCTGGGCAAGGCTGTTGCAAAGTCTCTATTGGGACACCCAGGCTCCAGGCCAACTCACATCCAGGTAAGGAGGAGAGACAGATGTCAGTTCTTATGAAACAGAGCTTCCTGCCTTATTTTTAGTCCAAGAGGGAATTTATTTATTTATTTATTTATTTATTTTGGCAGCTGGCTGGTACAGGGATCCAAATCCTTGACCTTGGTGTTATAACACTGTGCTCTACCCAACTGAGCTAACTGGCCAGCCCCTAAATGGTATTTAGAGGAAGAAGTACAGGCAAGTATTTAAGAGCTATGGCTCTGGGGTCACACAGGCCTGGCCTTTTACCCTGACTATAACACCTGCAGGCAGTGTGGCCCAGGACACAGCAGTGTGGTGCTCTCAAGGCCTCTACTTCCTCCTCACAGGACAGGGTGTTGTGATGATCACACGAGATGGTGTGTGTAAACAGTGCCTAGCACACAGGGAGTGCCTGGACATTATTTACTGACAGTATCCTCCAAGCAGGCCTCTCAGGGAAGCATCCCCAAATGAGGCAGGAGGAGTGCTGGGTCTTCAGCCTCTCATGGAACAGATAACCCTCCTTCTGGGATCTACGGTAAGGACAAAAAAAAAAAAAAAAAAAGCAAAAAGCTCCAAACTCTAAAAGTAGCTTACAATAGTCTTATAGAGTAGTCCAGCTTCTGTGCATGCCGCTGCTGTCCTCTGTGGGAACATGCATGGTATTCATGGTTCAGCCGAGCCTGCCTCCTCCCAGGGTCACCTCCAACTCTGCAGCCCAGCATGATCCCCCCATCTGGCTCTGAAGAATCACTGCAGCGGCTGGATTACTCACTTGGCATTCAGCACACACTGCCATATTTGTCTCTGTGGATATGCCAGGACCTCAACCAGATTGCAAATTCAAGAGCACAAGCTGTTTTTTCCTTATATTGTAGTTCCCACATTTCCTGGCATTATATCTTACCCATAGCAGACATGAACATATTCCTAGAACTACAGGATGGTGCTCTCAGTGAAGTGTCCCAGCACAACACGCTCCTTAATGTTCACTTGTTTATCTAATTGAGAGCCCCAGCATCTCCTCTGGAATCCCACTTACCTCATCCAGCTGTCTCTTCGTCTCTTCTTCCATCCTTCGAATGTCGTCCATGGTCAGGTCAACCCACTTATCAAGCCAACAGAACAGCTGCCTGTGGAAGTTTGTAAATAGACGCTTCTCTTGCTAAAAAAAGGAGGAAACCGTGTTAAAACCCAGAAGGTGATGGCCACAGCTACAGCCCTCCTCCCCATGGTCTCTAATCGCTAATACCCACACTCTACTGGAGAAGTGGGGTGGGGTGATGCCTGGCTGGCTTATCTGGATCAGCCACAGTGACTTTTGCCTTCACGTGTCTAACAGCTATGGCTTCAAGTAGGACGGAGATCCCAAGGAAAGATGGGTGCCTACCTAATAGCTAGGCTCTTTGCCCAAAATTCTACCAAGACAGGCAGCCCAGGAACTCCCAGCCAAGCCAAGGCTCCAAAACAACTGCCAAATTTCCTCCCTGCCTCTGGTGCCTAATGCCAGGCTAAAACTGGCCAGCAGCTATGAAATGTGGCCCAAGAGTGAGGTTCCCACACATTAGAGAATTAAAGGGCTGTAACCCCTTGGGTCTGGGAATTCAGGGAACTAGAGAATTTGGCTCGCAGTGCCTCTTGCCTTTTAGCTTCAAGAAAAGAGAGACTAAGTTTTATGTGTAGTTCAATCACAGCAAGTTCCTTCCTGTTTCCTTCTTTTGCCTCAGTTTCCTTCCCTGTCACATGTGGTGCCCCTAGATAAACACTATTAAACTGTAAGACAGTTAAATACAAGGGAAAGTAGGGCTCCAGGAAACCAAACTGAAACAGTCTAATGTTGGCAACCTTAGGATACAGGTCACACGGGCTGTATGATTTTTTTCTTGTTGGGCCAAACAGCCCCCCACCAACACACACACATGGAGATCACTGGGAAGGCCTCACCCTGGTCACTTACCTTATGTATAAAGTTTTCCACCTTGTTCTGTAGGCCCCACCACTTGAACTTGACAGTAACCAGTTTGTATGCACACATATATGGGCAGTCTTTCTGATTTACAAGTTCTTGCTGCGTTAGAAACATACCCACAGGCAGGCTGGTAACTAACAGGGCAGACTTCAGGCTGTCCCTTAGCCCAGCCCCAGCCATTCCCCTCCTCCATAGGGAGACACCCACCCACACCTTGCCCATTCCCCTGGTGGTGAGGATGTGAACTGCACCTTCCAATTTGGGCCCAGGGGTCCTCGGCCTGTTTTGATAGATTTAAATTTTGCTGGGTCTTCCTCTGCCTTGTAGTCCTGAGAGTAGAGAAGTTGTGGAATTGGGGTTGGGGGCAGGGAGGGGGGGAGGGGAGAAAGAGAGGGGAAGACCAGGTTTTTCATTAGAGTATATACTTCATACCAGTTCTTTTTTTTTTTTTTTTTTCCTTTTTGTCTTTTTTTCATGACCGGTAACGGGATCGCAACCCTCGGTGTCGCGCCTGCACCGCGCTCAACCAGTGAGCGGACCGGTCTCTATATGGGGTCCGAACCCTCGGCGGGAGCGCCGCCGCAGCCACACTCTACCGAGTGCGCCACCGGGCTGGCCCTACTTCATACCAGTTCTTGATGCTGCTGGTGCACAGCAAATATGGAGAAATGTTATAAACAAGATGTAGAACTGTTTACATTTGCCTTGAGGAGAGTTCTATGTGATTTTCTCTGTTAGGGTCTGTTTTCAATTTTACCCAGTATGAAAGTGTCATCAGACTGTACAAGCAGTCAGATATTTCTAGTGTTTAAGACAGAGATTTTGGGGCCAGCCCGGTGGCGCACTGCTACAGTCCGCCGCTTGGGAGCGCGGTGGCGCTCCCACCGAGGGTTTGGATCCCACATACAGACCGGTTCCCGCTCACTGGCTGAGCGAGGTGTGGGAGCAACACCGAGGGTTGCGATCCCGTTGCCGGTCCCGGTCCGGTACGGGCACGACACTGAGGGTTGTGATCCGTTGCCGGACACGAAAAAAGACAAAAAGGAAAAGACAGAGATTTTCAGGGCCGGCCAGGTGGCACACTCGGTAGAGTGTGGCGCTTGGGAGTGCAGTGGCGCTCCCGCCGAGGGTTCGGATCCCATATAGAGACCGGTCCGCTCACTGGTTGAGCGCGATGCAGGCGCGACACCGAGGGTTGCGATCCCGTTACCGGTCATGAAAAAAAGACAAAAAGGGAAAAAAAAAAAAAAAAAAAGACAAGAGATTTTCAAACTGGGGTGAGTATCCAAATCACCAGGAAAGACTTTTTCAAAATGCAGATCTCGGGCTGGCCCAGTGGCACACTGGAGAGTGCGCCACTTGGGAGTGCGGTGGCGCTCCTGCCGAGGGTTCAGATCCCATGTGGAGACCGGTTCCCGCTCACTGGCTGAGCGAGGTGTGGGAGCAACACCGAGGGTTGCGATCCCATTGCCGGTCCCGGTCCGGTACGGGCACGACACTGAGGGTTGTGATCCGTTGCCGGACACGAAAAAAGACAAAAAGGAAAAGACAGAGATTTTCAGGGCCGGCCAGGTGGCACACTCGGTAGAGTGTGGCGCTTGGGAGTGCAGTGGCGCTCCCGCCGAGGGTTCGGATCCCATATAGAGACCGGTCCGCCCACTGG